ATGTTACCTTCACGGATCTCTACCCATGTTTCTCTGTCTCAGCCCCTTGAATTTTCCCTGCCTTCACTCACCACAGTTTGTAACTCTGCTTAGTTGTGGCCTATTTTTGTCATCTTCCCCAGGAGCTTGCAAGCTCCATGAAGGCAGGGGCCACATTTGCTTTAGTCTGTTGCACCTCCAGAGCCTAATACAGGGCAAAACACACAAGTAGGCATTCGATAAATATTTTTGAATAAATAAAATGAGGCAAACTCCAGATGGATGGAGACAATACTATTTTCCACTTGAGTCCTTATTACTGAAAGAGGCCATTCAGGAGCTATAGAGGGAGAGGAGAAGGAACATTTTCAATAACAACAACAATAATAACAGCTAAGGCTTGCTGAGTACTTCCTGTGTGCCAGGTACTGCTTTAGCCCTTGTTTATTAACTTACTTATGCTGCATTTGAACCCCCCTAGTAGGTATTATGATTATTGCCATTTTATGAGTGAGGAAACTAAGACAGAGGGCAATTGAGCAACTTGGTCCTAGTAACACAGCCAGGAAGGGGTAAGAGAGATTTGGCCCAAGGAGTCTGGGTGCAGAACTTGCACACTTGGTCTTTAAGCTCTACCACTGCTCAGGGCTTGTCGCATTGCAACCTCTTTCTGTAGACTCAAACCCATTGGCTTACAGAGGACTCTCACTCCACAGCTAGGAGAAATGGTGCGAAGTGGCAGATTCCATTAAACTCCATGGTGTGGTTAAGAATCCTTTTAAAGAGTATATTGGAGTTTTCAACATTAATTAAAGACCTATTTAAGGGTTGTGTTTGATTTATATGCAGGAGATGACATCAATTAGCTTTAGCTCCTATTTGTGCTGACAGTCAAGGGCAAAATGAGCTTTGGGGAATTAATTGTCTCTGGGTTTTAGTTCTTCTTCTGGGATAGTTGCCTCTGGTCCTCCCATAACATGAACATGCTAGTTAGAAGTCCAAGAAAGCAAAGAGACAGTGTGGGGATACAAACACATAGGAGTTATATATTGAGGGATAGCTGCCAGGCATGGGCGCAAAGGGTGCGGCACCATGCCTGCTGGTATTATAGAGGAGCAGAAAGTGCAGGAGTTAAATGACTAGAAAATGAATAAAATGAATAAATCAGAATCTGTCATGACTTATCATGAACTATTTTGCTGCTCAAGAGAAAGATAAATTGCTTCTGTGGAAGACATTCAGCTCTGAGACTTATTTTATTGTACCTTGAAATCTCCTGTCTGCCACATTATTACTTTCAATGAAATTAGCAACAGATGGAAGACCTGAGCTGCAAGATGACAGGTGGAGTTGCCTACACATGAAAAGAACTTGCAAAACTGGGATAATAGGAAGTATTTTTTCTAAGCAAAAAACACACCCACAAAACAAGGACCTCAACTAGTGAGAAAAGTTGGAGGGGTAGCTGGGGGAGCCTCGAGAATGTGGGCTTTCCTCGGAGTGAATTCCAGTTATTGGGCCATAGGCAGATGCCCTTTCTTCTTTGGCACATCGGAAGCCCTGCTGAGAGCCTTGACTACAGCCCAAAGCATGGACCCTAGGACAGTGTCAGACCTGTGGTCAGGTGCCACTGCTTGTTAGCTGTTTCTGTGCGCACTTCTATCCCTCCTGTCATCAAACCCAGTTCCCGTAGTTTGCTCTGGCAACCTGGCATTGATTGTGGAGTAGAAAAACAAAATCCCCTTAAAATCTAAGATGTGGGTCCCCACCCCAGGTTTTGTGATGCTTGGTTAGTGGTCAGGACAAGGTGCTTATTTGCTGACTTCAGTTTTCTCCTAAGAAAAATGAGGAAGCAAAAGCGTTGTTGTCAGGCTCAAAGGGGATTACTGATGGGAAAAGAAATAAGATGTAAAGGAGTATACAAGCTGTAAAGTGATACAGAGTGCTGGTCTCTGAAATGAAGACTTGTCCATAGAGAGATAATACTTTGAGGAGAAAGACGCCATTGATTTCATGCTTCAGCATGTTTGTGATTGCTTGGACTAACTCATAGTTATAACAGTACCTGAAATTTCCTATGAGTGAATTAGACAAGTGTTTCCCTGATTACTCATTATAATCCCCATGGGGCTTACTAACCACAGGTCCTGGGGTCCTGGGACCATGTATCTGTATTTTTCAAAGCATGCTGGGTATTGGCTAATGCACAGCCAGGATTGGAAAATACTGCATTAGATTCAAGAGATGTGTGACCTAGCAAAGAGCACTGTACTTGAAATCATGAGCAGGGGATTTTGGCTAAAATTCTGTCACTATCTTGGTGGGGAAATTTGAAAACTTTTTTAAAAAGACTGGAAACCATTGGAGATTGCAAAATGTCCTTCCATTTGCCACAGTCTCTGGTTGTTTAATGCTAAAACAACTGGTTGTTCTATTCAATTCAGGCAACCTGGTAATTGTATGATAAAGGAAGCTTGAAATTCACTCCAGTGTCCGTGAGACTGAGAGGCTCTGGATTGCCGTGCTGAAGTCCATTTTGCTATAAATCAGCTGGTCAATTTAGTCTCAGAATGATCCATTCTGTTGGCCTGGGTAGTATTTTGTCATTGGAGTAGTGCCTAGTATCTGATAGGAGCTCAAGAAATATTGGTTGAATAACTAAATAAGCATAGTCACCATCTGTCCCAACACCATACAAGGAGGCTTTAATAATTATTCCCATATATAGTATTACATATATCCATGTATATATTTATTTTATTGCAAATACAATGTTACTTATTTGCTCTTCTAATAAGCAAGGAAATCTCTGTTGCACAAGTAGTGAGATTCAGGCTCCTAGAGGTGTTTTTTAAAAAATATTTTATTTATTTGAGAGAAAGAGAACACGAACAGGGGGAGGGGCAGAGGGAGAGGGAGAGTAGGCAGAGTAGGGAGCCCAATGCAGGACTCAATCCCAGGACTCCGGGATCATGAACTGAGCTGAAGGCAGACGTTTAACCGACTGAGCCACCCAAGCGCCCCATAGGCTCCTAGAGGTATTTAAGCAGAGATGCATGATGAGGGTGGTGGGGGCTAGCCTCAGATGATTTATAAGACCTCTTTCAACTCCTAACTTTTAGGATGTGAAGGTGCGTAAAGTGCCTTTGAAACTTCCATCCCGTTCTTGATGTTTGAACAATAGAACAAGGGCAGATCAAATGCCGCCGGTTCTAGTGCTGTAAATTTTCCTTTGGGATCAAGAGTCCCAGAGCTACTGTTATGAAAGATTCTAGATATTGCTTTGCATTTGGGAAAGCCTGATGTATTTGTGTGCCATTTCAAATTCTGGGCTTTAAGATGAAATGAAACAATCAATTAAAATGAAAATAAAAGCTCAATCTTCCTAAAGTGTTGGAGGTAAGCAAGACTTCTAGAACTCTAAAATTTGCTTATTCACAAAGCTTGCACATGCATTCCCATGGTGCCCAGCTGAATATTTATAAAATCATATTCTGAGATGAAGATGGTATGGAGGGAAGCAAATGATACTGTTACTTTTATAGGGCTGGCCATAGGCCAAAGATGCAAACTGATGGCCTGTGGTGATTCAGAGAGCAGATGTGTTTTGCGGAGCCCACGGTATGTTTTTTAAAAAATTGAGTGAGCTACCAACATTGAAAAATTATAAGTTTTTACCTATATAAAAATATATTTCTGCTTCTCCTGAAAATCCAGAAAAATCTGTCTACACTGGGCCTACCTGCCCTCATGGCAATGTAAGGCATGGTCTGAGAAGTGGCTGGACGTATACTCCCAGCGTACTCCTCCTTGGCCCTTTCTCTCATTTCTGTTATCTGCAAGCCCCCCAGAGGCATTTGCTTTGATTCCTCCTTTTGCAGATGAGACTGTGGTTTAGGAGGAGTGTGTCCTGGTACCTAACAAGGCCAGCATCCTCTTTGCACCTTGCCCACAGCTTGAGCACAAGGAATAGGAATCTTGCTAAGACTTGTTGCGCCCTGGCACTGTTTCTGCCACACAGTAGAACTCATGCAATAGACCCCCTTCCCCTTCCCATTCCACACTTCCCACCTCCTGGTTTTTTCCTCTTTTCTACCTTCTAATAATGTAGAAATCTAGGAAATCTCTGTTGCACAGGTAGTGAGATTCAGGCTCCTAGAGGTGTTTTTTAAAAAATATTTTTTTATTTTCTGAACTCCCCAAATCTGAACATCCTTCCCCCCCACCCCAGCATGAAAAAGGGCTGTTGTTAATAACTGCTCTGGGACAATTGGAACTATTGTGGATACCTGTTTCCTAGCACTGCTGTAATAAAGAATCATAAATGGGATGGCTTAAAACCAAATTGTTTTCTCCCAGTTCTGGCAGCCAGGAGTCAGAAATCCAGGTGTCCACAAGATTGGTGCCTTCTGGAGTTTCTGAAGGAGAATTCCTTTCATGTCCTTCTTTGAGCTGCTGGTGGTTGCTATAATCCTTGGCATAGCTTGGCTTGGAGAGGCCCGCACTGCCGTCCCTGCCTCCACCATCACATGGTGTTCTTCCTGTGCACCCATGTCTGTTTCTCCTTACGATCAGGACGCTCATCATATTGGATTATGGCCTCACTCTAACAACCTCAATGTGATTGCACCTGCAAAGGCCCCATTTCCAAATAAGGTCACATTCACAGAATTCGCAGATGGTTGGGACTTCAACATATCTTCTTGGGGGACACAATTCAACCCATTAGCCTCAAACTAGCTTTCTGACCTATAAAATGGAGATAATAATAGCATCTGTTAGATACAGTTTGTGTGAGGACTGATTGACCAACATATCTAGGCCTTCACACAGTGCTTCCAACAGAAGCATGTTCAGCCTTTTATCTCCCCTGCCATATGTTTTCCCTCCTCTACTTCTCCCACTTAGGCACCCAGGTCCTTGGCTTCTTTGTCATTTCTGTTTGTTTAGTATAGAAATGTGAAACAAACAAATAATCCATATATTGCCTGATTTCATTCTTTCTACAATTGATTTTGAAGGTAATATTGAAGTGCATTCTTTTAAACTAATATGTTTACCTTTTGCATTGTCTCCAGGAAAGATTCAGACTCCAGTGGCATGTAAAAGCCTGCTTTATGCCCACCCACACACCGTCCCCAGGTCTCCTGTTGTGAGTGCAGCTTCAGAAGAAGAGAGTCATGGAGAAGCCAGTTCCTCCCAGACACCATCCAATCAATTCGATGAGACCCTACTGCTCTTCACTGTCAGACAAGAAATTAAGAGAGCCAGAGGAGCACCCCGTGAGGCCTGGAGCAGTCCAATTTTGGCAAAGCACATGACAAAAAATCTTATTAGATCCCACTCAGTCACTCCTTTGCACCTGGAGGCTGCAGGCACGCACATCAATAGGCACATGAGACTTCAGAACCGGCCCTCCTGCAATTCCAGGGGATATTCTGCCCCACTTGGTAAGGATCACTTTGTGGTTCTTGTGCTTGTTTTTTTTTTTTTAATTAATTAATTTATTTTAGAGAGAAGAGAGAAAGAGCACAAGTGGGAGGAGCAGAGGGAGAGAATCTCAAGCAGACTCCAGACTGAGTGCAGAGCCTGATGTGACCCTGAGATCATGACCCAAGCTGAAACCAAGAGTCAGATGTTTAACCGATGGCACCAGCTAGGCGCCCTGACTTTGTGGTTCTTAATTCCTTGTTTCTCTCTTCAATTGGTCACATTTTGTTTTTAACTTAATATAAACAGTAAAATTACTGACTCAATGGCAGATCCTATTCTAGAAGGTTCTATAAGAGCTGTATTAGTCAGTTTTGAATGGAAGTCTACTTGTTGCCAAGTATTGTTTTGGAGGAGAGAACAAGTGTGATTTGATGACAAGTAATGTGATGATTCAGGTATTGCACTAGATAATAATGATGATGACAATTATTGCTATCATGATCATTCCAGCCCTCATTTAATTAGCTCTCACCATGTGCCATACAATGTACTGAGCATTTCATATTATTTTATGAAACCCTCCCATAACACAGTTAGGCAGGTAATGTCATTATCCCCATTTTACAGGTAAGGAAACTGTGAATTCATAGCACAGAATAATGTATATGATGACAAAGTGTCTCAAAATTGCTCCTAGGAGTAATGAGTAAAAATAAGGAAATGGACCAGAAGGAATGAGCTTTGAAACCAGGGACACCTCGGCTCAAATCTCTACCTTCTCCCATTTCTGTTCAGTAGCCATGATCAGTCCTATACGTGTTCTTTGAGCTCAATATTTTCATCTGCAAACTAACAACAATTACTGTCTTGAAGAGATGTTGTAATTAGAGGATTGATATAAATGAAGTTCACTGAACACAGCAGGGACCAAACAGCGGTGGGGAAGATGGTGGTGGTGTTTATGGTGCTGTTGTTCAGACTGGAGGTAAGAAAATGTGAGGAAACAATGTATATTCCAGATGCTCTAGAACTGTCATGTAGAAGGATTAGATTAATTTTACATAACAGTTTTTTGGAAAATTTTGGTAGATTTCACGTCATATGTTTATGCAGTTTATTGGAATTGACCAATAGAATAAAGAGACAGATTTTTACTCAATACAAAGGAGAATTTTCTTTGAACTAGAGGAGAATGTCCTGCTTGGACTAGAAGTGGCAAAGGAAGGGCTGGTAGACCTGCTACCAAAGATGCTCATTCAGAGATTGCTTCATTTCTGGGAAGCCGGGATTGAGAATGGGATGCTGAGGATGCTGGTTGGTTAACATTTTTTTTTTTTTTTGGTCTTACTATGTTTAAGACAATGTGCTAAAATCTGAACATACATCTTCAGTTTTGATCCATATGGCCATTCTCTTAGACAGGAACTGCTATTTTCCCATGCTTTAGATGCAGAATCTGAAGCCCAGGGGATTCTATAACTTTAGGGCTGGAGCCAGGATTCAAGGCTTCCACTTTGACTCCAGGTCAGAGTATACCTATACTGATTTTAAACATGATGACAACAGCTCTTGGGTATTGAGCACTTACTATTTACTAGGTGCTTTACTTTTAGCATGTTCTTCTCTCAGATACTTAACTAGTTTGCTTTTTCTCTTCAAGTCTTTATTGGAATTGTCACCTATGTGTGCATTATTTTTCTACTTTGGATTTATTACCAGCTGATGCTCACTCAGTTCTTCATTTGCTTCTTTAGTCATCTACTTTCCCATCCCCACCCCCTTTCTCCACAACTAGAGTTAAGCTCTGTAAGTGCAGGGACATTACTTGCTTTATGCTTCTCTGGATCTCCAGTGTCTAGAATACTGGCAGACGTATAACAGACAAATCTTAATGAACGAATAAATGAATGAACAAACTTAATCCTATTAGTGACCTTGTGAAGTAAGTAATACAATCCTCATGGTTCAGGTAAGGACAAAGAGGCTTAGGCCAGGTGATGTGCCAGGATTTGAATCTACGATGGTCTGACACCAAAGCCTTGTTGATTCCATTACACCACACTCCCTAAGAGAGTGTTACAAAATGCATCATTACCGAATTGCATTCAGGGAAGGAATCCCTATTCTTTGCTTATGACAGAGCCTTGACCTGTCTTGACCTGTCTAGGTTACATTCTGTTGCTCCAAATTCCAGAACCACATCCATGTTCTCTTATGGAATTCCCTTGCACTGATTATTGATAGCAATGAATTGGTCATCTGCCATGGCTGCAAATCCAAATCGACAAATATCTATTAAGCATCTAGTTTTCAGAAAGTTAGTGTGTTTGGCATTCTGAAAGGTTTTACTTACTTAGAGATATTGAAATGCCATTCCACCTTTATTTCCAGGAAATAATTCTTATACTGAAAAATGAAAGTCACTAAGAGTTTTTCAGTGTTTGATCTGAGTATGTTGAGTATGTTGGGTATGTTGAGTGTGTAATGGGAGATGCCCAATACATACCAGGACAGTATGTAATGAGCTAATTGAATTGCCTAGATATAGACTGGCTGTTTGACACCCACCGTAAAGAAGGTACCGTGCATTTTTAATCTCATGCATATTTTTTGAAATGTGAATGCTCTTGTAGATTGCTCCAAATATTCTATATATCTACATGCTATTCAAAGCCCTTTAAAACTTGTGGAAAGTGATTTAAAGCACATAAATTGTCTTAATTTACTACTAAAGAATTAGACTTTATGTAGGTCAATGGGTATAATTTCTCAGGGAAGAACTATACATAAGGAGATAAATGTATATATACATATATATATTCTTTTACCGTGTTGACCGTATTGTAAAAAATCTCAACTTTTACATAAAAATTATTTGACTGGGCAAATAAAGAAAAACATCAAATTGATTATTAGTATTAGTGGGTATGTATGTATTGGGTAGATCTGGATCAGATTAATTCCCTGGTTGTTTTAATTTTCAGCTGGTTGAAATTTCTAATAAAAACTTGGGTGTTTAAATTATCAGTTGGAAGTCTACATGGGCCATGGATCCGTTTGCTTTGCCCACTCTCTAATTCCACTTTATTTTCCACTCAAACTTTTCCCTGGTTTAGAATTTGTGGCCCTATTTTCGTCACCAATTCTTCTGTTTCCCTCTCTTGAGCCATTTTGAACAGCTTTCCTTGACATGAAAAGTATTATGAGGGCCTGTAAAAATCATTTTTTGGAGAGGGTGCTTTTAAACAACAGGAAGGAAATAGATAGCTTTTTATTTTCTTAAGGCAATGCCAGGGAAGCAGGCAAAGGAGAATGTCCGGGGTTTCTCTCTCTCTCTCTTTCTCTCAGCACATTGCAAATGTTGATTTCTCACACATCCAGTTATCAGCAGAGAGTTTCTGAAAGTCGCGGCAGGGCGGGTGAAGTCCGCACACTTCAGGGCCCCTCCTCCCTTGTCTGCCTTCCAGGTCCCGCTGCGAGGCATTCCACCGCCATCGGCCTTTGCAGGAAAAGCCAGACCCCTTTGGCCTCGTCGGAGGACCCCCGGAGTTCCTCGGAGCCAGAGCTGGAGGACAGGAAGGCAGCCTCAGGAGGCGCTCAGGCGGACCCCCATCGCCAAAGCCGACCCCGGGGCGCGCCCCTAAGTCCGGCTGGAGGAGGCGCAGTTGCCATGGCACCGGAGATGCTCCCCAAGCATCCTCATCCCCCGGGGAAAAGGGAGCCCAGGGTGGACGCCTCCCTCCACGGCAATCTGGCAGGAGCGTCCCTTCCTCTGCTCGCCGGTGCTCCCACCCATCTCCCCTCAAAGAAGTTAATCAAGGTTTGCTCTTCTCCCCCCGCCCGCCCACCCCAGCGTTTCCATACGGTTTGTTCACAGGCCCCTCCTAGGCCGGGGGTGAATGCTCACTTACATTGACCGCTGCGAGGGAATTGTCCGCGGGTGCTGCCCATCTTCAAATCAATGCCTGCCCAGAACAACAGAAAAGGCCTCAGATGTACTGGTTTCCACAGAACCATTGTTAGGCTTTTGTGAAGCAGTTTTGAACCTAATAAATAATGTCAAAAGTCTCTATCGCAGCCAAAAATGTTCCTTTTGAAGCATTTCTAATAGTATTTTTGTTCTGCGGTGTCTCCCAGTGTCACAAAGAATTTGTGCCTCACAATGGGGATGGGGTACATCGCGTGCCACTTCGCAATGTGCCTGTGGGGATTGGACCCCTTTTTGTTTTGCTCTCACAGGTAAACGGTTTCATTTGCCAACTTGAGCTTTGGTTTAAGGATGTTTTCTAAGGGCCTTTTGAATCTCTAAACAGAGGTTTGGAAAACATAATTGAATGTCTGTAACTTAATAGTTAACATGGAATTTGATTACTCCTGATGTGCCTAGGGGAATTCTTCAGACTATATTAGGGTTTTTTATGTCAGAAACCTGAAGCTGGATCCTCCTTTGAGGTCCTGAAACACTTGGAACTCATTTTAATGCAAAAGAGATACTGAGTTTTCTTATTTTTGAATAAAAAAAACCACTGGAGAACCTTAGGTAACATTCTATCAAATTGGTCATTTTAGGCAATATTTTTTACCTCAGTTAATGTAGGTTCAACAGCAGCTTTTTACCATGATTTAATGCAGAGACTAATTTTAACAAATGATTTTATGTTTTTTTAATGTAGTATTCTTTTGTCAGCTTTGAAAGAGAAACACAAATCAACGAAACCAATACATCCATGTGTAATTTTTCATTCAAGTTCCTTGCAATTTTTTACCCAGGCTTGGATTCAGAAAGTCCGATAAAGAGTGTTTATAAATCCTACTGCATTTTTCCCCATTCAGTTCAAATTAATATATAGAGTATGCCCGTATTCAAGACTTACCATCAAGTCTACAAGTCCAAATTTAAGTCTCAAAGTTTTAATAGGAATGAAATGTTTTAACTAGTAACTGCTTAACATTTAGAAATCTGTTTAGTCCTTTGAGGATGATTTGATTTCTTAGCATTCCCTAGGGGGTAATGCACTTTAAAGAACAACAACAACAAAAAAGATCCCCAAGCTTTAGAGCGTGCCTTCCTCCAGACTATGATTTTATAATAAATATGTTTTTGTTATTTATTTATTAACACGATTTTATTGTAAGACAACAAACAGGTTATCAGGGGTGGTTGCTATAGTTCCCTGGGGGGATAGTGGCATCTGCACACTGGTGTGCACATGACAATCTTAAGTTCAACTTCATGCCATTTGGTTGGAGAGAAATGTGTGGGTAAACCCATGGCTATGTGAAATTTTGATTCCGGGATATTTTAATTTGCTATTTAATTATGAGTTAGTACAACTGATATTTTTCAGTTACCGAACCTATTGCTTTGCTTGAAGTGATTCTAAAACAACTAACCAGAAATCTGTAATGGTCAATTGCAGGAGGAGGAGGAAATGTTTTTAATGTAGTAAATAGATTCTCTCATCTGTAGAAGTGCAAAATCCTGAATTTACTAAAAATACAATAGAGAAGAAGTAATTCTATTCATAATTGAGAAAGGGGATGCAAGCAAAAGATGTGAAATATGTGGTATACCATATTTTATCTTTTTAAAAATTTTATTTTTTAGAGAGAAAGCATGTGGCGGGGGGTGGGGTGGGCAGGGTCAGAGGAAGAGAGAATCTTAAGCAGGCTCCAGGACAGCGTGGAGCCCATCCTGGTCCCTGAGATCATGACATGAGCCAAAATCAAGAGTCAGATGCTTAACCCACCCAGGCACCCCGATATACCATATTTTAAAGCAGGTTCCCAAAGCGTGTTCCTTGGAACATTGGAATTACAAAGATACTTTGTGAGATGGGGAGTCTATAGGTAGATATGTCTGAGGGATGTGGTCTGGCAATCTCCCTCTTAGAGAGTCACAGTAACATATTAAGAATCACCAGAAATTACATGATAAAAAATCTGATAAACTCTGTTTAGCTTAGTGTTTTTCAATTTTATTTGACCAGGAAATCTTGATTTATTTATCTTTATCTATACTCTTGATTTGTTTATGTGTTTGTCTGTGTGTGTGTGTAAAGACACACACACACACATACACATATTTTAAAAAATAGCACCTGTCTGTAGCACTAGTGTCCTGTGGAACACATGTGAGAAAACTTTGCTCCATCTCTATTCTAAATACACCAGAATTCATGCAAACTGGTAGGGTTCAAAGGAAGGATGACTTTTCAAAGGTAGTGAAGAAAGAATCAGAGCTAAAGAAAGCAACCCTTAATAAATACCTCCAGGACCCCATTCTTCCTTGGAGGAATTTAACTAGCTGTTCTGGTTATTTTTTCTCATTTTGGGTGCACCTGGTTGGGAGAATGTTAGTCAGTCCAGCCATGACCATGTTTTTTTTTTTTTTTTAAGATTTTATTTATTTATTTGACAGAAAGAGACACAGCAAGAGAGGGAACACAAGCAGGGGGAGTGGGAGAGGGAGAAGCAAGCTTCCTGCTGAGCAGGGAGACTGATGCCGGGCTCGATCCCAGGACCCTGGGATCATGACCTGAGCCGAAGGCAGATGCTTAACGACTGAGCCACCCAGGCATCCCGCAGCCATGACCATGTTTTGATAGTGATGGATGAGGAGCATTTCCAATGTGACTGTTAGAGTCATGGGCTGTGGACATTCAAGTTCTCCTGAATGACGACTACTTTTGTATTAGAACTTAGACACAAATGCACCAATGTAAATGTAGTTGAATCTTTCCCAGTGCCATTATTTCTGAAAACAATGCTGAATTAAACAGGCATAATTGAGGATGAATCAATTTTAGGATATAAATTATATGTATTTATTTATAGTACTGTCACTGAAGAATAGAATAAGGTCCTATGGTATAAAATAATTATTACTAAGATTCTGAATTAACAGCTTGCTTTTATTTCTTCAGGGGTATCTGATTCGACTTATGGTACATTTATTACACATACTGTAAGTGTCTTGTAAGGAAGATAATATGCCACCTCAGCAAAAAAAAATGTTTTTCTGAAAGTCTCATTGGAAAATAGATATTGATAATTTTTTAAAATTGATGCATTGGAGAAATTAAGTATTTAACACACTCTCTAGTGAATGATGTTTAAAAATGAGGAATCCTCTTATAATATATAAAATAAATAATAATTGCAATGACAGATAACATTTATTGAGTGTGTATTATGTATTAAGGACTATTCTAAGTGTTTAGTAAATATTAATTCATTTAGTCCTTATGATGGCTTTATGATGTACTCACTATTACTATTGTCTATTTCACTGATGGAGGAAGCTTTACTTTTAGCAGGTGTAAGACACATATGTATGTATATGTATGTATATAGACACCTATATATACACATATATATAAACTTTAAAAACTTATTTTATGTCAAGTTTACTTCATATGTAAAGCTATATTATTATGTACTATATTATTAAAGCTGACATAGGTGTACATATATCTATGTGTGTGGATTCCACTTACACAGATAGCATCTATAAATCTATAAATATACCATGCTATTGGTGCCTGAGTGAGGTAGGTATAGAAACTCTATTTATATCCCTCTCCTCCTGAAAACAAGGTGCAGAGTGGGAATTGGTAACTGTGGGTTGGCGTCATATAATATGTTTAAACTCTTTGAACAGCAAAGTTGGATCAGAGATTTATCAAATAGTTCTTTTTGTCTGACATTTCATCTCAGTGAATGAAGGTTCAGAAAATAAGGGAAGGGAGGATGGTTTTGTGGTTCATTAAAGATGGCAACACTTTTTTAAGGCAGCGCTGGAGCTCACAGACATCAGACTTGTGGAAGGGATGGGATGTCGCAGAGCGGGGAGTTAAGGAAGAGCAAAGGTGTTGGGGTCCATCTAGATCCGAAGAACCAAGAATGGATTCTGGTAAATGTGACCTGAACTTAGTGTCCCTCCATCATTTGGCTGGAGTTTCTTCACTGTGAAATTGTGATGACATCTTTGGTTCACTGCAAAGGTGAATTTGGGAATTAAGTTATCTATCAAATCGAAGCATTTTGAAAAGTAAGAGAACATGCAAATGCAAGTCATTCTTTTGTGACTAATATCGACAATAACTGCCATAAACATTATCGTTGGCTCTGCAGGGCTAAGTTAAGGACTTATCCAAATGGCTGCTCACACTGACAGTAAGTATTCTTTCTGGTGACCCTGTGATCCATCACATCCCTCTCTGAGAAGCTTTTATATGCTATGTTCTTTACCTTCATCACAGTGCTGTGGAGTAAATCAGAGTATCCATTTACTGAGGAGGAAATCGAAACAGAGAAACAAAGCAATTTGCCGCAATGATGATTGCCTCCAGCACAGATGCTTGCAGACATTCCATATTAAAAGAAAAATGTTCATAGCTGAGAAATTAACAAATCATTCCATTTAGAACCTCCAATTTAGAAAAGTTCAGTTGAGAGCACAGAAGGCCAGTCGGCAGTCTCTATCACCACATGCCATCTTTTGGTCCAACTTCCTATAAAAGTCTCAAACTACCCAAATAAGGGGCAGAATAAGGTAACGTTTTTGTAAACTACAGATGTGATGTCACACAGGGACCCAGGAAAGAGCTTGTTGTCAGGAGAAGACTTGACATCAAGAAAGATGCTCTGTGTTCCGAAGGTGGGTGGCATTCCTCCTGCGCCGACCGAGGTCATTGTGAAATGCAAGCCCCTGCATCAGGACTTCGTATAAGTTTGTTGCTATGTTTGGGCTTTGTCTCCTACTGCTTCCTCCATACTCACCACTCCGTGTTTTCCCCACTCCTATGGGAATCGATCTGATTTTTAAGTCGGTGATATTGGGATCAGTAATTATAAGGTGTTTATTGGGTACTTACTGTCCTAGGTAGTCCTTGTGAGAGATTTGAGAAGTGTGACTTCATTCAGCCGCATTTATTGGGCATTCCCCAGGTGCCAGGCATTGGCCTTCGTGTTGGGGATAATTGAAAAGGACACAAGCCTTTTCCTTGACAAGCTCCACCTGGTCTAAGACTCAGGTCTTTCATTCATTCATTCTATCAAATTCA